AAATTTAACTTTTTTATTTTAAAATCAAACAAGCAAGCCCTGTCCAGATTTAAAAAGTAACGCAAAAGTAACGCAACGCATTACTTTCCATAAAAAGTAACTAGGTACCGTAATTCGTTACTTTTTTATGGAGTGACGCAATATTGTAATGCATTACTTTTAAAAGTAACTTTCCCCAACACTGACGTAGCCTAACTAGTAATATAACTAATTACTAATTACTTTTGAAATAAAGTAATCAAAACAGTAACGTGATTACTTTTAAAAGGAGTAATCAGTCATTTGATTACATTTTCAGAGTAACTTGCCCAACACCGTCTAGCTATCTGATTACAAACTGTGGTAGAGCAGCGCCATCTCATGGACGGAATCCACTACTACAACGCGCCTCGCAGCAGATGAAGAATTGCAGGGCGGAATCGAATGTATCCCAGTTTCCTTTTTCGACACTTTGTAACCCACTTTCAGCGCGTCACAGTAGGTCAAAATTACAATCTTCCCTTCTAACACAAACTTCGACGGACAGGACTTTTTAACTATCCCCTCCCCTCTAAACATTTCAAAGAAAACTTCCACTCCATCGCCCAGTTTGATGCGGACACCTCTTGGACTCCCTAAAAAATTCCCTGATCCCCGGTCAGTTCTCTCCTGTCGGATAAGCAATACGATCTGCTCCCCAACTCCATTCTCTATTTTTGTGCTTCCTTGTGCTGCCAAGCCCCTGACGTAATGCTCCGTGTTAATTATTAGCATGTGGGAAGCGATGCCGAGACTCTCCTCTGCTGCTTAAACAAGAGCGACTGACTGCGGGGAGAAAAACCTCGTCAAGATGGCCAAACATACTGACCCAGAGTGAAGGGGCACCGCTCCCCGTCCCGTCCAGTCCTGTCCTGCGACCAGCACCAATGCAACTGCTCCTTTAGGTGAGTGACTTCTGAGGGTTTTTACTACAGCATTTGAAGCCTTTTCAGTAGCCTACAAACCTGGGTTGCAACATCTCTTGTCTCAGTTTTTTTTTTTTTTGCCACAGCAGTAGCTTTCTGTGGGAACTCCGAGTATGAAAAATGGAAATCAGAACGAGTCTGTTTTATTAAAAGTTTTGGGTTGTTTATTAATTATAACTCATAAACGGGGCATTTCGATTGATTTAGGCAGGGTAAACCACCAAACTGCTGACGTAAAGTGGGGAATTGTTTCATATGTAAAGGGCTGTGAAAATGAAGACTGAATAGTGTGCACTGACTTACAGTAGGGACAGTCGAGCAACACTTTTTGGGAATGTTCTGGACAGTCAGTGATTCCGCTCGGTTATTAGAGGATCGCTTGAGTGCCGCGTGTATGGACACGAGTAGAAACTGAAAGCCTGCGTTTATTTTTATTTGTTATTTATCTGATGCTTTTGGAGGTAAGTGTATATTTAGGTCAACCTACAGGACAAAATATATTAAGATTGCATTGTTCTTGCGGAGTTCCCAGTTAACAGTTCATCTAAAGTGTTGGGGAAAGTTACTTTTAAAAGTAATGCATTACAATATTGCGTTACTCCATTAAAAAAGTAACTAATTACGTTACTTAGTTACTGTTTATGTAACGTAATGCGTTAGGTTACTTTTGCGTTACTTTTAACATCTGGACAGGGCTTGCTTGTTTGTTTTTAAAATAAAAAAGTTCAATTTTTGACAAATATAAAAGCCTTTTCACACCAGAAGTGAAATGAATAAGTCTCAGGCTGAAGGGAAAGTACATTTACGTCCGTACAGTAGAACGCAGAAGAAGACATTTCAACACACTTCAGCAATAAACAAAGACACACAAATGTTTGTCAAGAGTAATTTTTGCTTATTAGTACGGTTGAACTGGATCATCGAAGGTCAGAAGCATAGACATTGGTTAATGGGATTAAATACATAAATTATATGTGTGTTGTTTAACATTTAATTATTGCAGGTTTGCGTCATATTCTGAGTTGCATTATTTTTATTCATTTTGAGGAATACTGAATCTGTTTTTTTTGTGTGTGAGTGAGATGAATTAATGCATATTCATATTTATTTTAGAACTACAGTAACATCTTCTGATTTCTGTCACCATGGCAACACCAGAGCTGTCAGTTAATAAATTGGAAACAAAAGTAACTTGCGTTACTTATTTGAAAAAGTAACTCAGATATTCTCTTGTAAATTAAAAAGTAATGCGTTACTTTACTAGTTACTTGAAAAAAAGTAATCTGATTACGTAACTCACGTTACTTGTAATGCGTTACCCCCAACACTGTTCATCTGCGAATATTCACTAAAGAATCACTAAAGAACGTTTAAGCATTCTTAAAAACTCGTGTCAACTAATGTGTCAACTCGCCTCTCATCTCAGACTCGAGTCTTTAGAATCCGGTTCGGTTCATTGATTCATTCCGCATGAGTCGTCGTTATGCCAGTAGGTGGCGGTAAGTCTCTTTTTGTGTGAATTGAATAATTGATTCACTCAAGTCCGCGTGATATCAAAATTGACAAAATTGACTATATTCTTTAGCCCACATTACTAGTCTTAGGGTGAACAATTATTCAGTCTATGTTAATTCACAGAAAAAAATGTTTGTCTTCATAATCTTCAGTCAAAATCTCAGATGCAAGATTCTCTATTGAGATGAGTCGCTCGTTCCTAAATGAGATGTGCTTATTCAGTTCGTTCGCGAATTAGATGTCTTCTGTTTATAATGAACTAACGCTTTTTGCTCGTACTGCAGTCATTTAGTGAACTAAAACTATGGGTCAGAAATGTACACAAATGTTTATCGTTCTCTTAAACGATTCGTTCAAAACACTGATTCATTCACGAATGAAACACCACTGTATGAAGCAGGTTTATTTTTGTCTCTGGCTTCTTATGAAAGGAAAGTGAACTTGTTTCACGGACTGAGACCACGTTATATTTGCCAATTCGTTATAAATGGTTAACCTGTTCGAGTTTCTTCTAAGAAATCTTACCTACGTGTCGTTTTCATCTGGAAGACTCAAGCAACAGACTTGTGGCACGTTTCCAAAGGCTTGTGAAACCAGCAATGGGGTTCAAAATATGTAGATTATACAGCTGTCAGTCTACTAGCTACTGTCAGTCTACTAGCCAAACCAGCCTAAGGTAGTCAGCCTGATTTTTGGAACTAGTTATGGACCAACCTGGACCATAAACCAGCTTCCAAAACACTATTGCCAGCATTAAGTTGAAATTTTCACCAGTGCTTGACTTTTTGTGTTTGTATTTCTTCTAAAATATGGACTGTATACTCACTACTCTTTACTTTAACAGAAAGAAAATGTTCTCTGTGGACAATGCCATCAAGACTAAAGCTGGACAGTCACTGTATGCAGGAGAAAAGCTGAGGAAAGTTTTGTAAGCCCCAAGTGGCCAGAGGGTTGGAGAGCTCCAACGAATACCATCTCAAAAGCTTCAAACAGGGATTCCCTACCACTAAGCCTAACTCCAAAACCCAAGAACAAAGATGCAATACATTGGTACCCACTAGCAAATAACATCTCAAAGGGCTATTTTCTGTCAAACCTCAAGTGAAGGTGAAAGCATTTTTGGATACGTCTGCGTGGTGATTCTCTAGTAAGCTGCAAAGCATTGTCATTGGGTCGTGGCCATCTCTCTCTCCCCCTCTCAAAGAACCCAATTGCCAAGTCTTGGTACCGTGAGCCTGCCCACCAGATCATGATGTTTCGTGACCAGGTGGGAGTCCTCGTCGGCTGGTTTAAGGGATGGAACGAGTGCGAACAGACTGTGGCGTTATTGTCGCTCCTCAAGCGGGTCAGTCGGACCCAAGCACGCTTCCTTCAGCTCTGTCTGGAGCATTCCTTGGCTGACTGTACTGAGCTGCATGTTCTGGAAAGGGAGGCCAATAATCCAGGTTAGTAAAGAGGCTACCACCTTTTCTGCCAGTACTAACCACATGCGAGCAGGTGGATTTGAGGTGTACCTGTTAAGAACAGGTGCACCCAGCTTTTTTGGTTAATGTATAGGTGTCTTTTAATTTACCCATAAGTTACTTCTTGCAGATTTGTGGAATAGGGATTTCTGTATGTAAAAAGCATAATATGTAATGTTGTATCCAAAGTGTTGGGGTAAATTTGAGCGTGCAATGTGGCGTGTGACCATGGAAACGAATACCTTGGAAACCAAATAGCCCAATAAAGGAGCACAATTATTTATGCACAGGAATAAACAATCAGCACGCTGAGCTGAAGGCCTGTGGATATTTTATACAAAGGTAAATGCACAGTAAGAAAGTACTATTGCATATTTTGTTCTTGCACACATACACACTCTAAAACCTGAACATGGGATTCCCATCAGAGTTTATAGTGGGCTGGGACTCATAAAGAGCCTCCTTGTGTTTTGCAGTGGTGTGTGTTGTATTTTATATGAGGGATCTTAGTGCAGCTCTGTCATTGTTATTCTAAAACATCAAGATGAAGATATCAAAAAGGAACTCATGAAGTTTTTAAAGTGGTCCTCACCCTGGCGTGTCCACTGACATTAAAACCAGCTGACAGGGTGCAGCCCAACTGAAACTCTTCTGGTTGGTGTATTTCTGTTGTTAGACTCATACGTTCTTTCTCTGTGATGATGAGTTGCTAGTTTGTTATTGCAGATGGTGGATTTGCATGCTTGTATGTGGTGGTGACCTTTGAATCCACTGGAATGAATCCACTGGAAATGTGTGTGCGTGTGTGTCTGTCTGTGCATGCCTACCTGTGCGATTCACCTCGGGCTGTAGCCTATTACACAGTTGTGCCTGTGTCAGCCAGAGCAATGTCAGCTTCCTATTACTCACCAGACGGCTGGGATTCTTTGGTTAATCAGCGTATTTTCTTTCATTCAAGCAGACGTCTGGTTTAGCCTGGACCCTCATTAAGTATCTCAAACTGAACTCACTTCAGGCGATTTAGTTGTTGTTTACCCGTGTGAAGGTTATGGTTTGACTTGTTTAGCTCAGCAAACTTGTAAACGATCTTACACTGATATTTTACACAGTTTTTGAAAAATTTTTTTTTATTTGGGTGTTGTTTTGTATTCGAAGCCTGTTCAGGGGTTTCTAGGAAAGATTAAGGCTAATGTGATTTTTTAAAATAAAGTGTGAGAAAATACTATAATGTAATATTATAATGTAAAATAATGTAATTAAGTTGGCAGATTAGCAAATTGACTGCTTCTGTAGAAATGTAAATGGTTAATTAATTATTAACCTATTTTATTTACTATGCAGAAATCTAAAATATATAATATTTTTAAGTCAGCATATAAAAAAATTAAAATGTATGTCTATATATATTATCATTTTTATTGTTGATTTGAAATGATTTTAAATATATTTTTATTCTTTTATGTAATATTTTTATAATATAGCTAAATTATTTTATGTTTTTACATAACAGAAAATGTAGATGTATTAGCTATGTTAAAAAGGCAAAAAAATAAATAAATTCAACATTAATTTCAAAATTAATCTTTTAAGCTCTTGTCTTATTACATACACACACACACACACACACACACACACACACACACAGACTTTTTATTACAATTTGAATTGTTTTCAGTTATTTTAATATATTTTTGTATATTTTACCTATATAATTATAGGTCATTTATCAATTATATATTTATTTCAATTTACAATATTAATAGTAATTACTGTCTTATATAAATGTATTTAGTTATAAGCTCTCTCTCTCTCTCTCTCTATATATATATATTACAGTCGTTACTTTTTAGTAGATTTTACAGTTACTTTATATCTTATATATATTTAATTATATTACTATTATACATATATAAATTGAATGAGGGGTAGTGTAGAAGTGGTTACATGTCTGAATGAATTTTAACTCAACATGTCAGTTTAAAAGATATTTTAGAATGAGTAGTAGTCACATCTATCCTCTGAAATCAAAGATCCTTTATTTTACAAACCAGACACACACACACACACACACACACACACACACACAGACTTTTTATTACAATTTGAATTGTTTTCAGTTATTTTAATATATTTTTGTATATTTTACCTATATAATTATAGGTCATTTATCAATTATATATTTATTTCAATTTACAATATTAATAGTAATTACTGTCTTATATAAATGTATTTAGTTATAAGCTCTCTCTCTCTCTCTCTCTATATATATATATTACAGTCGTTACTTTTTAGTAGATTTTACAGTTACTTTATATCTTATATATATTTAATTATATTACTATTATACATATATAAATTGAATGAGGGGTAGTGTAGAAGTGGTTACATGTCTGAATGAATTTTAACTCAACATGTCAGTTTAAAAGATATTTTAGAATGAGTAGTAGTCACATCTATCCTCTGAAATCAAAGATCCTTTATTTTACAAACCAGTAAATGACCACATTAAGACATTCCCATTCATTAGGACAGTGTATACAGAGTTAACTCGCAGCTGGAAGTTGAGTGGAAAGATGCAACTATTTGGAAAGAACAGCGCCAATGAGAGGAATCCACAATGACCTATTTATTTTCCTCTGTGAAGGAGCTGCCTTGTTCCCCTGACCCAAATGATGCAACTTATTTGCCTCTCATCTCAGCATCACACACTGTAACAAAATGCATGTGTGTTGTGCAATTGAGACACAAGTAGTATCGCGTATATCATATTTAGTTTCATGTCTTACACTTTAAATGCTAAAAAGGCTATTTTTGCTTTGGTAGAATTCACATTTCCTCAGTGCTTCCTTCATCTAGCTATATCAGTCTTAACCACCATTGGTGGAGTGGTTTAATTTGGCATCTATGTGACTGAGAATCTATGAAGAATGTGAATCCAAAACACAAACAAGGTTACACAATCCCAGCTTAGGTTTTGCTATTGTTTGAATTTTTTCAACCGTTCCATCCAGCATGGACAGTAGGATAAAACAGAGAGTGTGTGTATATTTATGTGCCTAAATGAGAGAAGGTGCGTGTTTGTTTGAATATTATTCCTGTCTGAGCTGGTGTTTAACCCTTGGCCCTTTTTCCGCCCCTCCACCTCACAGCCCAGAGGCAGCAGAGTGCGGACAGGAGGGGCACTGTTGTTATGAATGACTGACTTCATACCTCTGTGTGTCTGTGTGTGTGTGTGTGTGTGTGTGTATGTGTGTGTGTGTTTGAGATGATGAAGGCTCTCCGAGTTGTTTTTCTAACATGGTGGCTTCTCTGTGAGATGCACTGAACTGACGCTCCCTGTTGTGACAGGTAATGTGACAGGAGAGTATTAATTTTTTAATCCTTGTCCCCCAATCATACAGTAAGTTTAATGTTAAACTGTAGAACTATGGTATATAGTGAATCTACAGTGTAGAGCTGAAATGTCATGGCTTTAGTATTCAAGGGTTTTCAGTGTCCCATAATTCAGTTTATATATTGGCAAGTACTCATAATCACAGCAAAACATAGTTCATTTTACATTTATGCATTCTGCTGCAAATACTTTTTTACAAAGCAACCTACTTTGCATTGAAAATGTAAATTTTTTTTATCCGTTTTTACATTCATTGGGAATCAAATTCATTGGACTTACTGTTGTTAGCAGTAAGAATGTACTTAATATGCCCCAATTATTTTCCTTTCAGAATGTCTTAATGCAGGTCCTCTTCTAAGAAGCAAAATTATAAGTTGTAGAAATCACTCACACAACAGAAAATGTAGCATTTTTTAAATTCAATATTTATTTAAGTCGTATTATACCTGTATTGTATAAAATATAGTATAATTTCTAATATATTATAATGTATGTACTATATATATTATAGGATATTAAATATGTAAAGCATACACACAGACACAATTTGACTAAAATAGCTATTTCTTATGTGTATAATTTTATTTATAAGGGTTTTTTGAGAGTTGTAAAGCCATTTATGCCATATATATATATATATATATATATATATATATGTACTTTTATATGCATTTTTTTTAATGAAATATTTAAAAACATTAGATATTAATGTTTTGTTGTTAGAAGCCCTTCAAAAATTCAACTGAAAAACATTCAACAGAAGGACAGAGTAGTGTAATCAGCAGCATTAGGTTTGCCCTCTCAGACACACTTTACTTTGTTACCACTACTTGTTTCCCACTCAAGTAAAGTTGTAGAAACCCTGGCGCCGATGTTAACTTTAAGATGTCTCAGAAAAATGCTGAGTTTGGATGACGTCAGCACTTGAGTCAGTCTGGGTAATAACTTACTCATCATCTGTTTCTCATCTTAATGAAAGGCAAAATATGCTCATCTCAGCGAAAAGGAATGGATGACATGCAGGTACTTGAAAGGCATAAGATATATCGTCCTTTCTCCCTACTGGCCTACTGAGTAACATTGCTTTCTTTACGACATCTCTGCTGCTGTTGAAGGAGACTGTGTTTAATTTGCAGTCTTGTCTATACTGCTGTGCTTATCTGTAAATTGGTTTGATTAGCTGAGACAGCAGAAGTCTTATCTTCTTTTATGCTGATTGCATGCAATGTTCATACGTGTTGCTTTTTAGCATTCATAAGATGCTTGTGTCTTGAAGTTTGCTGAATATTTGCTGAAGATTTTCCTATGAACATCGCTGAATTAACTTCTAGCCCAAATCAGGATTCAGTCACATTAAGATGATTGTAAAACATCCCAATTATTATTTTCATTATGCCCGGAAATAACTATTAAAATGATATACTAGTAGAAATGTGTCTGTTAAAGGGGACATCGGATGCCCCTTTTTCACAAGTTGGTGTGATTCTTTAGGGTCTTCATGAAATGTCTGCAACATACTTTGCTTAAAATTCCTCAATGGTCATGTAAAACAACACCTCTTTGCCTTGTCAAAAACAACCCTGTTTAA